CCTTTACTCCTTCCAAGACTTTCACCACCAGCAACACCAATACCATCACTATCACCTCCACCCTATCTTCGCTAATACTTTCTGTCCTAGTTAGCGTCAACTGTCAACTTGACAGAACCTAAAATCATCCCCCTCCCCCCACAAAAAGTCTTAGTTGAGTCATTGTGTCAATGGAGTTGATCTGTGGGCATGTCTGTGAGGGATTGTCTTGACTGTGAATTAATATAGGAGAGCTCAGCACACCATGGCAGTACCATTCCCTGGGCAGGTGGGCCTGGGCTGTGGAAGGAAGCTCGTTCTACGAGAATGAGTCTGAGCAAGCCAGAGAGCAATGTTCCTCATGGCGTCTGCTTTAAATCCCTATGTGAGTTTCTTCCCTGACTTCCCTCCGTGACGGACTGTAAACTGTAAGATTAAATAAACGCTTTCTTTCCCTCGGTCGCTTTTGGTCAGAGTGCTTTATCACAGCACAGACAGGAAACCAGAGCCCCCGTTCCTCATCACTTCCACCATTGCATTATTTTCACCCCCATACTCACCTAGTCATCCCCAGCATCTTCGCCATCATTAACATTGTCTTAGTTAACCTTTCTGTGGCTGTGATAAAACACCACAAACAAAGGCAAATTAGGGAAGAAGGAGTTCAATTTCTCTTACACTTCCAGGTAGCAGTAAGGGCAAGAAGACAAGGAGGGCAGGGACCTGGAGACAGACGCTGGTGCAGAGGCTGTGGAGAAAGATTACTTACTGGCCTGTTATTCATGTTTTGCTCAGTCTGCTCCTTAGTACTCAGGACCACCAACTCAGGAGTGGCACTGCACACAGTCATCTGGGCCCTCCCACATCAACCATCAATCAAGAAAATGTGCCACAGGCTTGCCCACAGACCAATCTGGTGGGGTCATTTTCTCAATGAAGGTTTCCTTTTCTAAAAAATCATTCTTTCATGTGTCAAGATGACATAAATCTAGCCAGAACAAACACCATCACCTTCACCAACATTTTTCACTTTTCTCACCACTTCCTCTTCATTATCGCCTTCACCTCCACCCTCACCACCACCACCACCACCACCACCTGTAACAACATCTTTACTTTATCACCACTTTCGCCTTCATCATCGACTTCCCCTCCACTGTCACCATCAACACTGATGCTGGCTGTCACATCACCTTCATCAACACCTTCACAATGACCATCCTCATCACATCCAAGTTCTATGTCTGCTTTTCCCTTTCTAATCCTCCACCACACAGAGATGGCGAGCGCGCCAGAACATGCCACCTCAGCCCAGGAATCATGAGCCATGTTGTCCACCAGCTTCTGCTTCAGGTCCTTTTTCAAAACATACATTTGGGACTAAACTCCCACTGATTTTGATTTTGTGGATCTGGACTTCAGCCTTAGACTCCAGACACCCCCAGGCCCTCTGTCCTCTGTTTTTACCCCAAGTGGACTTCCAAGGATCAATGACTTAGCTGAATTACCTCATAATTGAGAAAACTAAGGGCCCAAGAGAAGGGGGATAACTATGAAGAGGGAGATATACATTCAAATTCCATCCACTCCACACATCTCAAGTGACAAACACCTATGCTGCAAAAGTTACTGGCAGGCAGCCAGGTTGCCCATCTTTGGACCTCAGTTTCTCCATTTTGGAAATGAAACTGGGACAACAATCATTCTCAAAAACTATTTATTACAAAACATTGAGAAGATTCAAGCCCATGAAAGAAAATACATGAGATGCTTTCTGGGATCTCATGCAGGACTGGAGAGGTGCCTCTGAATCCTGGAAGGCTCTCCTTTGCTGAGGAGGGAGCTAGTTGTTGGGGCTCAGAGGCAGGCAGCAGTTGGGAGAGGTGTCTGGTGTCCTGAGTGCTATGACCTTCTTGGATTTAGAGACCATGAGTATAGATGGACATGCAGTGAGTTCTAGACTCCATCACAGAAGCCTCAAGTTGGCCTCACCAAGGCTCTGTGCTAGCAGCTGGGAAATTCCACAGGTTGGAGGGAGGCTGCAGAGAAGTAAGCTCAGTGTTGGAGGGAAATGAAAATGAAGAGAGACTCTCAGTTATTCTTCTCAGACACCAGCCCTTCAACTACGAGGATAACTTTCACAGAGTATGGAACATAGCAACATCCCACTCTTCCCTGGGGGAAAAGCATAACCCAAAGGAAACTTCCAAGCACTGCCTAAGGATGTGTCTTGCGGGCGGCAAGAATATATCATAGAGATTCAGCTGTGCATTAAAACTGAACTTTGACCGGCCAAGTGTCTGTCAAAAGGCAAAGCCATTTATTCTGAATATTTGGTGTTACCCAGCCTTTAATATTCCAGCTGTCTTCTGCTATGAAATCCTTGCATGCCCAGACCAATTGGTAAACAGTTCAGCTCCCCAGACCTGCTGAACTGCTAAGTTACTAACTGCTGAGTTTAGGAGACCTGCTGGGGGGAGACCCATCCATACCTTTGTTTCCTGTGCTAATGAAACTCAGACCATCCCCTTGCCTTGAGAAGGCCTAGTGGTTCTCCAGAGCATTTTGACTGAGAACAAAAGAGGTTTTTACATATCAAGGTGAGAGATAAAACAGCAGTCCTGAGGAGGCAGGGAACCACACGCCCAGGGAAAGAAAAGGCAGGTATTTTCTGTAGACAAGGTCAGAAATGCATGGCGAGAGAGAAGAGAGGACCACAGAGGTTCCATAGAGGGTAAGCAGATCTCAAGTAGAGTTTTCTGAGGGCCAGGAGTAGAGAGCAGCAGAGATGGAGAAAGAGGATACAGAGGATTAAAATGAGGCTGAAAGCATAGGAGTTAGTTGTTAGGTGGACTATGAGCTGGGGAAATGGACGAAACTGTAGTTATGGAGATGGGATTTCATCCCAGAGAAATAAAGTAGACGGATATATAGAGCTTGGTATGTCTAGAGTTATTCCTGCCTTGAATGCCTGGTGGAACTATAGCTGAATTGATAGAATTTTGTCTTAGAGGAATAAAGTTAACAGACATAAGAACATAGTGTACTAGATTTTCCCCGATATCCCACGCCTGACATAGCAAAGCCCCCTTGGACTTTGGGGAACCAATAGATGTGGGACGTGTAGGACTTGGTTCCTGCTCACACAACAGCTGAGATCTCAGGAGGGCTGAGCCTGGAGCTGAGGACACCATCAAATTCCTCTTCCGCCATTCATGAACTCACATTTACTTAGCACACACAGGACAAGGCATGTGAGGCCAGGTGGGACACAGTGACAAATAACCTTTGGCACTTCTCCGGGGCCTTGAACATCCATCCAGAGGGGAACAAGTCCAGTCATAGATGTTCTTAGTAAGAGGTCAAGGTAGCCCTGGTAAAAAGCATGGTAGGATGGAATGAGGATAGTCATTCAATTAGATGGTTGGAGGACTGTGCCAGAGTATCTTCCTGGAGGCAGGAGAGCTGGGCCTTGGAGGATGGAGATCGGGAATGGAAGGCAGGTCAGGAGAAGCAGAGCATCCCAACTGAGGGCTCACTAGTATCACTGAGAATGGTCCATATTGAATAGAGGATGACTTTCAGCCCTCCCAGAGCTCAGGAAGAAGACCAGGTAGTAGTCCATGGTATACTGTGATATGGTTAGGGAGCAACCCAAGGTGCCAACGGCTCTTGATGCTTGTCTAAGTCAGGGCCTTGCTTGGGGATGACATTGTTCATGGGTTAAGTGGTCTCTTTGTGACAACAGATGTGGTTCATTAGGTAGAGTGCTTGTCTAGTATGCACAAAGTCTTGGATTCAATGCCCAGCACAGCATAAAAAAACAAGTGTGGTAGCATAGGCTCATAAGCTCAGCACAGAGAAGAGAAAGAAGGATCCAAAGTTCAAAGTCATGCTCAGCTTCATGGTGAGTTTGAAGTCACCTTGGGAGACATGGGACAGGGTTTCAAATAAAAAATCTGGTAAATCTAGGAATGGCTAGAATTTTTGAACTATTTCCCATGCGGTAGAATATGGTATGGTACCTGATAGCATTTCACTCTCAGAACCATCCAGTGAAGGAAATGTTTCCATGAGGAGACAGTCCCACCTGCCCCCAGAGGCCCTGGACAGAAGGCTGGGCAGGCGCGGGGCCACTGTGCAGAGACCTCAGGGGCTGTCATCTGTTATCCAGGTGTTCGTGCTCTGCCATGGCCTCCTACAGCTCTGCCAGCTGCTCTACAGCGCCTACTTCAAGAGCAGCCTCACCACGATTGAGAAGCGCTTTGGGCTCTCCAGTTCTTCCTCGGGTCTCATTTCCAGCCTGAACGAGGTGAGTGGGAGGCTCTTTATTTAAAAAACTTTTTTTTTTTTAAAATCAGGTTTACTTTATTTTATGTGTGAGTGTTTTGCCTGCATGCATGCAGGTGTACCACGTGCATGTTTGGTGCCCAAGGAGGCCGGGAGAGGGCATTGGATCCCCTAGAACTGGAGCTATGGATGGTTGCTATGGATGTTTGTGAACCACTATGCAGGTGCTGGGACTCAGACGTGGGTGTTCTTCAAGAGCAACAAATGCTCTTCAATGCTGAGCCATCTCTCTAGGCCTGAGTGGGAGGCTCTTGACCATCCTTCATTGTGTATACTATCCTAACCACAGGATCCGAGAGGAGCATGCCATGGGGCTGGGTCTACACCCTAGTGCAGAATATAAGCCCTAAATTTGTCCTTTGACTTGACGTTGTCCTCACAGACAACAGAGAGCAAGGAAGCAAACCTCTGACATGTATGTCACTGTAGCCCTGGCCCTTGTGTGTATCACAAGTCACCCACAGTTCTTGGTGAATCCAGACACACCCTCTCGATCCTTCTCACACTGTGTTCCAGGCTCCTTTCCTAAACAAATGATATCTGATGTATATGGTAGACCCTTTCCTACAGCAATCAAGGGGATCCAAAACCATGAGCTCCCATATATAAATTTTTATCTGCATCATTGGATACTTGAAGTAAAATTGTGGTCCGAGAACACTGGAGTTTGTGTGCTGCTGGTGGTGAGTGAATGTGTGTGTGTGTGTGTGTGTGTGTGGTCAGGGGCGTGTGAAGAGAGTCCAGCCTGGTGCAGGCGTGAGTGAGGCCATCTGAGTGTGTAGTGAGAACAAACCTTCAGCCTGAAGCACCAGTTCCCAAGCCCTCCTGGGCCCGGATGAGATGAAAGGGCACAGATTGCCTGCGGCAGTTCAAAGGCAGGTGGAGGGGCGTCAGCAGAGAAGCCGTGGGTGTCTCGGCCTTGGGAAACAGCTGCTCCTTTTGTCCACTCTGGCATGACATCAAAGGGTGAACAGATAAGATGGGTTGGAGCCCTAGAGCCCTGCCCTAGATGTCCACTCCAGTCCCCAGACCCTTTAGTTTTGAGACACTGAAGGACAGAGCGTGCTATTAATAGCTTTATTTCAGATTTCCACTGTTCAACACCACCAACTAGCTGAAGTTGCTCTAGGGGCACTCTGAAGGGGGTAGTTGAGGCCTGAAGTCTTCTTCTTGGCTAGAACAGCTGCAGTTTTGAGGTGTGCTTTAAGTGGGAAAAGAATAAAGAATTCTTTCCAAGGTACCCATCTGCCGAAGAAAAGCTTGGAAGCAATACTCAATACCCGAGCAGGTCCAGTGACCCACACAGAAACCAGTCCTGGCTTCTGCAGATAACTGGGGCCACAGATACTCCAACCTTCCTTCCTGGGTTTGTTTCAGAGCCCTCCACCACCTCTCTCTCACACACACCCTTCCAAGTCAGCTAGCAGAGCTGAATGGTCTGACATTTCCGTCCATTTATAAAAAATCAGTAGAGAAGCAAGAAGGAATGATGAAACCCAAGAAACTCAAGAATAAGCTTTCCCTTGCTCTGGGTACCCATTGCAGAATGTTCTAGGAACTTGAGGCTGAGGAGCTCCCTGCTGAAGCCAGGCTGCCTCTTCATTCAGCTCTCATAGCTTTACATCCTCTTCCACGTGCCGCAGCCTCTGTCTGTTGATCATGTCCCTTCTCACATGTTAAAGAGAACCAACTGCACACCAGGCACTGTCCTAGGTGCTGGGAGGCAGAAAGGAACAGACAGACAAAAAGCTAAGACAAGAGTACAGAAATAAAGGTCTAGTAGCTGGACAGTGGGAGAGGAAAGGCATTCAGGACCAAAGTGGTGGACACAAGGAACATTCCTTCTAAGGAACGTCGGGAACACAGTGGTCCTGTCCACACTAGACAGGACTTGGAAGTGGTATGATGGTCCTTGTCCTTCAGTTTGAAGAACTAAGGATGGGTATGGGGGTGGGTTGGACGCAGAGTTGTTGGGGCAGAAGCCAACTCCTCCAGAAGGTTGCTCTAGTACGTCATAGACAAACCTGAAGTCGGGCCTTCCTGGTTCCGTCTGTCTCTTGACTTCACAGATGGAGACATGACACTTCCTGTTTCACTGTCAAGTTCTAGTTTCCCTTCTCCTGCTGTCATAAAGACCATGACCAAAGGGACTCAGAGAAGAAAGGGTCTGTCTGTCTTACACTTCCACATCAGGCTGTCGTGGAGGGAAGCCAGTCCCGGGACTGGGGCAGGAGCAGAGACCATGCAGGAAACCTCTTGCTGGCTTCCCCTTTCCTCTTCCTCAGCTTGCTTTGTTAGTACAACTCAGAACCACCGGCCAGGCATGGTCTCACTGGCAACAGTGAGCCAGGCCCTCCCACGTTAATCATTAAGCAAGAAAATGTCCCCACAGCCCTGCCTCCAGGCCAGCTAATGGAGATATTTTCTCATTGGTTTCCTCTTCCCAGATGACCCTAGTTTGTGTCACGGTGATGAAAATGAACGAGCACAAAGTATAAAATGAGAGCAGTTGCATGGAGCATGGGGCCATGCACGTTGCTTGGTTGTTATTCTGACTTTCAGTCCAGAGTCCCTGAGTCTATTACCCTGGACCTCGTTAAAGTTAGGGGTTTAATTAAGAAACATGTGCTACTCTGGGAGCCTTCTGGGGTTCGAGGCTTCTTTAGATTTTGCCCCCAAAAGATTTTTCTAGAAGGGCTAGGGAAAGAGCTCAGTTGGTAAAGTGCTTCTTGTGCAAACATAAAGACCTAAGTTCCATCCCCAGAACCTACATTTAAAAACCCAGGTTTAGTAGTGGCATGTGCCTGTAATCCTAGAGTTAGGGAGGTAGAGAAAGGAGGGTCTCCGGAGCCAACCAGCCTAGATATTTGGCAAGCTTTGGATCACTAAGAAACTGTATCAAAAGAAAAAAAAAAAAAAGAGGTGACTGGTACATACACATGCACATGTGAGCACACCCTCTTGCACACATAAGCACACACTCAGGATTTGTGGATAAAAAGGTCAGTGTTTGGATTAGTTCATCGTGTCTTCAGATAACTGCACAGGACTGGCCCAAAAAGCAGAGGCCGGAGGAAGGCTGGTGCTGTGAGAATCCAGCATAAACAAGAATATCTGGGCAAGGCTAGCGTGGCTTTGCCAGGGACCTCACTATTACCGGACAGCCCCTTCCCTCTCTAGCCTCCCAGGATGAAGTGTGGTCAGTCTACTCTGGGCTAAGGGAAGGCAGGACCGACCTGGCTCTCACTCCATCCCTTGCTCCCCTCTGCAGATCAGCAATGCTACCCTGATCATCTTTGTCAGCTACTTCGGCAGCCGGGTGAACCGCCCACGGATGATCGGCATAGGGGGGCTCCTCCTGGCGGCAGGGGCCTTTGTCCTCACCCTCCCACACTTCCTGTCGGAGCCTTATCAATACGTCTCAACCACGGCTGGTGAGTGGCCTCGACCCCTGCCTTGAGGAGATGAGGCAGGATGAGCATGGTACAGAGTTGATGGTGGTGCCCCTGCGGGTGGGATTTCCACTCTAGGTCATGGTTTCTTTCCTCTCCCACTAGAGACCGTCCTTGGCTTTAGGAGCTCAATTTCTCTCCAGACCACATCTGGAATGTGGGACCTATTGAAACACACAGAAGTGTGAAGTAGCCTAGCTACCTGGTTCCTGGCTTCTTGAGGAAGAAGAGACCCTGTGGTTGCTGGCCTCTCCCCCATGACTCCCTGTGCCTTATGCCAGTTTTTATCCAAACTCCACCTACCTGGGACCAGAGCCCACAGAGCTCTGGAGGAAAGAGGACCAAAGCGGGGAACACTATGAAGTCTGGGGATTTTTCTGATGTTTGGTTACATCTGTCGGTTTTTACTTTAAATTATATAGCGTTTGTATGGTACACTCATTGATGCTGGGACACTAGTGGGGTGCAGAGAAAAGTCATAAGATGAGGAGTTATGTGACTTTCCCAGGGGAAACATGAACAAATATCTGTTCACTCCACATAAGACACTACGACAATCCAAAGAGATGAGTCTTCTCAACTTTAGCTTGGTGAGCCAATAAGTTTATTTGGGTTGTTTACAGGAGCATGGGTAAGGGATTACAGGAGCATGGGTTAGGGATTATAGGAGCATGGGTTAGGGATTATAGGAGCATGGGTAAGGGATTACAGGAGCATGGGTTAGGGATTACAGGAGCATGGGTTAGGGATTACAGGAGCATGGGTTAGGGATTACAGGAGCATGGGTAAGGGATTACAGGAGCATGGGTAAGGGATTACAGGAGCATGGGTAACTCAAAGACAGACACATCCACAAAAGACACACTCCATCATGGGTGAAGACTCACAAAAGCTGTATCCTTAGAGCCGTCTGGACAATTTGTAGGCACCTCTACCAGAGTAACTTCGTCCCCAGCAATTGATTTCTGCTTTTTACAACCTTGGGGGAAGGTTTGTAAATCTTGTAACTTTAGGAACTTCTGAGCCTTACAAGTTTCTATGGCTTCTTTAGTCTAAAGAGCTCTACTCTTTCTCAACCTTTCTAATGCTGTGACCCCTTAATACAGTTCCTCATGTTGTGGTGACCCCCAACCACAAAATTATTTTTGTTGCTACTTCATAACTGCAATTTTGCTACTGTTATTAAGCATAATGTAAGTATCTGATATGCAGATGGTTTTAGGCGACCCCTGAGAAAGGGTCATTCTACTCCCAAAGGAGTTGCAGCCCACAGGTTGAGAACCACTATTCTAACCGGAAGGGGGTGTTTCAATTGGGAGGAAATGGCTACACAGTAGGTCTTGACACCTGAAGGTATTCAGATATCTTCTCAGGGTCCAAGTAGCTAAGGAGAGAGAGAAGAGGGAGCCCT